AGCCTAAGCCTAAGCCTAAGCCTAGAGCAAAGCCGAAACTGCCGCCAAAAAACCAGCAGGGGAAAGCATCGACTGGCAGAAGGGTAATTGTCCCCCCAAATCAGAGAAGACAGTAAAGGACTTGAGATTCAAATTCATTTGGAATTTAAAATTCAAAGATCACTTTACTTTCGTTTTAAACTCTGGTTTTCACAATTATTCTCGATTCACTTTCTCCTCTATTGAGAAGCAGGTTCTCGGTTATGGCTCAAGTTTTAGACCAACAACACGTTTACCTCCTTTAACTTCATTACTTCAGGATGTAAAGAGCTTAACGAATAGAGCTAGATGGAATGACCTATTTGATAGAATAAGGCCTGCAGTGTCTCACAATCAATACATTCCGGGTTTTTACCTCCCTTCGGAGAAAACACCTCCTCTAGCCTTTCCTCACATTGAACACTCTTTACTCGATTTCAAATCCAGATTGCTTGCCGGCGTAAATGCTGCACAATTCACTAGTAAACGGAAAAGAAATCTCACCCCTGGAGAACAATTAGCTTATCAGTCACTCAATAGCCGCTCTGACATCACTATTTGCAATGCAGACAAAAACCTTGGCACGGTTGTTCTGAATAGCGAAGACTACTCAGCCGAATGTATTAGTCAATTGTCAGATAAGAAGTTCTATAACAACATTACTTCTTCCGATACTTTACACGTTGAGATCTCAGATAAGCTTTCCTCTATTTGCAACAAGCATTCTGCCACACTCACAACTAGAGATACTAAAGCATTATTTAGCTGTTTTCCTTTTAAGCCAGCTAAATTCTACATTTTGCCAAAGATTCATAAAAATCTTATCGCAGGAAAAGTACCAGGTAGACCTATAGTGTCATGCATTGGACACTGCACCTCCCCTGCCTCACGTTTTGTAGATTTCCACTTAAAATCTATCATCAATAAAGCAACAACATCTACAGCACTAGCAGATACCAATAGTTTAGTATCACTGCTTGCTTCAACTAATTTTCCTACAAACAGTAAATTAGTCACTGCAGACGTTGTCAGTCTTTATACTAACATGTGTTGGCACGATACCATTGCTACTATCGATCAGCTCCTTAGTGAAATTGATCACCCTCTCAGACAGTTACTAGTAGATCTCATTACCTTTGTTCTCGAGAATAACTATTTTAACTTTGAGGACTCCATTTACCACCAAGTTCATGGAATGGCCATGGGTACACCAATGGCCGTAAACGTAGCAAACGCTTTTCTCTTCATTCATGAAAGAAAAACACTAAGCCTTTTCAAAGAATCTATTTACTTGTTTACTAGATTCATTGATGATGTTTTCCTAGTTATCGACGAAAACCTTTGCTTAGAAAATGTCAAACTTAGTCTATATAGTGATCTAGTTGATATCAACCTTACTTGGACTGTTCCCAGTCATGAGTGCATATTTCTAGACTTAGAAATATATAGATCCATCACAGACAATGTTTGCATTCTCATGTATCGCACACATCAAAAACCTAGGAATGCGTATTTGTATATACCATTCAAGTCGGACCACCCTAGATCAAATCTACGTTCATTTGTTCTGGCTGAACTTCACCGCTACAATAGAACCAATTCTCTGCTGATTGATATTGTGTCTATTCGTAAGCGTTTTTGGTCTAGACTACGACTACGTGGTTATCCTCCTGACTTCCTGGCCGCCGTCTTTAGTAACGTCGACGCCAAGCCATCTTTGCCACCAGCAAAGAAGAAGAAGGAGAAGAACATTGGTAATAAGGTTACATTTGTTACATCTTATCACCCACACTTTGTTCGCAATAGTCTTAGAACTATTCTAGAAGAATCATTCAAGAACACTGATGCTATGGTCTTCTTTCGCAAAACAAAACAATTGTTCTAACCATACACTCTTAGGTCCCACCCTTTTTTGTACATACTATTCTATTTTCAGGCATGTGACACTTCACTTGCCTTTTTTGGCAGTGTCAATATATTGACACTGCCAAAAATAAGTCTGTACATATTACCAGACAGAAATAATGTACAAACTGGGCTTGCATGCTTTTTCATGTACAACATACTACTTGTTCATAATTACAAAGCATGTTCCATATAAGCATTCATCCATATTGGAATTCAAGCCCACATTATTACACATATGTCATAACAGAATTGCAGCACTTCCAAATTAGGAACTCCCAATGCTCTTGGGGCCCCTAGCATTTTGGCGGCCTACTTGTATCCATGTATAATTTAGTTCCACTCTCGCCTGCCTAAATTCTGTTGTGTTTTTTCATTTCTCTTCACTCTGATGAGCTGCCTTAGACAGCGAAACCGGTCAGTCCTTAAAAAGATTTGTAAAACCAAAAATATGTGTTCTGTGAAACAACTTGTGTCGGGGATGTTTCCCTCTTCAGTGGTGAGTAACCCGAAAATCAAAAAGGCGTTTTGCTGCCGCGACCAGAAGCCACGAGCCCGAACATCCACATGGGCGCCATCAGCAGTGTTGCTAGACACAGCCTCACCCTGCAATGGAGCAAGTGGAGGCTCGGTCTCCACATCTCACACCACCTCCACAATTGGTTATGGCGCTGAGCGTGAATGCGTCATGAGTCGTCGTGTCACGACCACAGACACACGATGAAGGCACACTACTTAGAGCCAAATCATAGCACAGACACAAAGCGTCCCGAAAGTCATTTTTGTTGAAAATACTGCTGTGGCAGGGGTACCTAGCCAGGTTGATACGCCACCATCGCCGGCAACCTCGACCAGAAACCGCTGCTGGTCTGGCATAGAGGGCTTGATGCTGGTGAGAACGGATTGCTGCTGAGCACGACGCTCTGTGTGCGCCGCAGAAGCAAGAGTCCTGCAGGATGTGACGGCTGCAGCAAGACCAGGGGCACGAGGCGGCAACACACCCACCAGCGGTGAAGAACGGCCGAAACCGCGAGCCGGTCAACTACTGGAGACTATCTCCGAAAAGAAACGCAAACCAAGGGCATTCGCCTTCTGCGAGAAAGCCGGTCACTCAGTTTCATCCTGTGAATCATTCAAGGATGTGAGCCAGAACGAGCGGCGTAAGTTGGCCCGGTCTGCAAACCGGTGCCACGTGTGTCTCGGGAATAGGCATGGGACAACGGAGCAAACCATTCGGCTTAGATGGCTGGACGACATTTCACCACCCTCTGTTGCATCCGTAAAATTATGAGCAACAAGGACAACCCAGAGACTCTGCTGATAGAGAGCAGACTAACTCAATCACGACGGCATCACACGTGACCCGCAGCAAGCAGAAGCCATCTGCGAGCGTCATTCTCCGAACAGTACCAGTACAACTGAAAAATGGCCACAACGAAGTGATGACGTCTGCACTTTTCGACGAGGGATCTACAGTGACACTGGTAGACACCCGATTAGCCAAGATTCTGCAAGCGTCTGGCCCAGTGAAGCCGCCGTCTCTCACATGGACCGATAAGAAGCATCAACACCATCCTCAGTTTATGTCCTTGAACCTGCAGATCACTAGATTGCAAGGAGACGACACCTTTCAGCTGAGGATGGCCAGGACAGTGGACAAGGTTCGATTTGTCGTGTCAGCCGGTGACGTCTGCAAAGGCGCTGAAGCAATTGCCGCATTTGAAAAACGTGTGGGTCCACACACTCGCTAACAACAAGCCCTAGCTCCTGATCGGCCAGGACAACGTCAGTCTGACTGTTGGACTAGAGTTCATCGAAGGCGCGCCGATCGCCTCCCGAACCAAGCATGGGTGAGTCATGCACGGTTGGCCATCTCATCGTCAGGGCAAAGTTGATGACGTCGTTCTGCAAAATATCTCTACGGAGGACAAAGAACTGCACCAGCTCGTGAAATCGTCGTTTAGGACTGACGACTTCGGAGTCAAGGTGCCACACGCTACAGCCCACAACCGTGAAGCGATGCGGGCATTTGAGCTGCTGCAGGCAACAACTCAGCGGTTTGACAAGACCATGTGGGAGACGGGGCTCCTGTGGCGCGAGGACAACCCAGTGCTGCGGCGTAGCCATGGCAATGCGTTCAATCGACTCCGCAGCCTGGAGCGCAAGCTTGACCGCAACCCATCACTGCTAGCAAACTACAACGAGAAGATTGCTGAGTATGTCGACAAGCGCTTCGCGGAGATCCTATCTCCTCATCAGCCAGCGATCAACTCCAACACCACCTGGTATCTCCCGCACTTTGGGGTCAACAACCCCTAGAAGCCGGAAAAACTACGGTTGGTTTTCGATGCTGCATTGAAAACCAAGGGAAATAGCCTGATTGACACCCTGCTCTCTGGCCCTGACCTATTGCAACCGCTGTCAGCCATACTGTTCGGTTTCCGCGTGGAGGCTTTCGCATTTGGTGGAGACATACAAGAGATGTTTCACCAAGTGTTCATTAGGCCACAAGAGCGATGCACTTAACAATTCCTGTGGCGTGGGTAGGACCGCAGCAAACCGACTGTCTGCCGGATGGGGGTAATCACATTTTCACCTACATCGCCGCAGTTCGTGAAGAACACCAATGCTGCCGAGCATCGCGACAAGCTGCGTGTAGTACAGGGCATTGTCGAGCATCAGTATGTCGATGACTACTTTGACAGCTGTGCTGAGACCAAAGAAGCAGTCAAGATCGTCGCAGATGTGATTGACATCCACAGACAAGGTGGCTTCCATATCATGAACTGCAGGCTCCTGGGTAACCTCCCTCTCATACTCCCTGCTATCATTCTCATCATATTCATGTACGATTTTCAATTCTCATGCCTTGCGTTAGTGTCTTCTCCGCATTCCTTGTTCGATTCTCACTTACAAATAATTCCGTTGCGCGCCGTGTGCGTGTCGACAACAGTAGATAACTGGAAACCGCTGAAAAATCGGAGTTAGGGCTGTCAGTGGCCTGATATTCGCGTCTAGATTGTCAGTAGCGTTGTTTTTCTGGATTCAAGGCTATTATATCCTGTTAGTGGTCACCTTCAACCTGACGGCATAGGCGCGAATGGCAATGCGTTCAGAGAACTGCTCACCAGGCATTGGCTATCTAGAAAGCCAGGTACCCCGTCCTGAGTTTGTTATGCGGTATGCTGGGATACCCTCAAGTTGGGCATCTCAATGCTTGGGCAATGGTGAACTGGCTCCAAAAGGAGCCTGTAGATTGCAGCCGTCGGCAGGTCAGGTACAATCAATTTGAACAAAATTTCGCAATTCCAAAAACAGCCATTATTGTAAAGACCCCCAAAACAGATACTTGGCAAGGCCTGACAATGCTTTATTCATCTCAGTCATTATTGGTCACTTGTTGGTCTGGCAACTAGTGACAGGTTGGTTCGGTGAAGGTCAGCGGCTCCTCGACCTGACAATTTTTTCAATAGTGGTTCATGTCAATCTCAAAAGTGTCTATAAAAAAACTTAAATATTTTTATTTCAGCCAACTTTGAAAACTCACGAGTGCATGGTGTAGCACGTAGTGTTGTCCAGTTTCCATAGATGTTCAGGTCAAAATACGGCTGGCACTGTATAACAATATTCCCACCGTCCATTGTGGCATTGATTATCGAATATGCTCCATCAAGTGGATTTGATGGTTCATTGAATTCACCTAAAATGAATGCAAGAGATTAATAAATAGTTGAAAAAGTTTAAAACGTTTTCGCTAGGACAATGAAGATGAATCAGGCAGGCATAGTGGGATGGTCTAAGACCATGATTGAGAAACAGAGGGTACCAGGTTCAAGTCGTGCTTGGAAGCGGAAGGAATTGTTCCAGCCGTGCTGCGACCCACAGTTAATTGGGAACTCGTGGCCTGGCACGAGGGTAACATGGATGCAGCTAATGGGATTTCGGTCTTTGACCACTTGGTGGTGAGTCTGATCTACTCACCTCCCACCGTTTAGGCGCTGCATCTGCGCCTTTGATCCTAGAGGGTGGTGGCGTTCCCACGGCGGATGCGGAAAACTCGGCTTTCAGCCGAGTCTCACGCGAACCGTGAAATTTATTTATTTAATGAAGATAATGAATTCAGCAACTCGGTTGGTTTAATGACAAGCCGCTTCTCCCGTTTGCCTTTAACACTATTTTGGTACATTATTTCCAAAACCATACATTTTCTCCTCTTGTATGTCTTCCCTGTTTGGTTCGCCATTAACATAAGTCGATTTGAGAAGATAGAAGTACTTCACCGCAGAATTCTTCGTAAAGTATTTCATCAAGACCGTTACGTACAAAACTTAGACTTGCATGCAGCCGCAACTACAACTTTACAAAACTATTTTGATACTTCTAAGAGCATGTCCGAGAATACCAAAGTACAAGTGCAAGTCGATCTCTCCGATTTCGCCCAAACTTTACAGGTATATGTTCCTTTAGGGGTGTCCATTGGTTGTGCAACGCCCTTGAAAAAGTCTCTGAAGGGAACCTTGAAACTTGCATACCCTTAAAAATGGCAGTTTAAAGACCATGACCAACATCAGACTGCAGCATCACAAGACAATCTTGGCAGCAGCAATGGTCAACATTCCACCACAGTTAGGACCAATGATACAGAATGATGACAGCACTGTGTGACCCTAAGTGTAACCTACTTCGAACTAATGCATTCGGCCTGATGTGTAAGCTTGGTGAATTCCAGCACGTAGTCACCACACATCTCCCAGACATTGTCGATGTAAGGGAGACGACGTTTACCGTTGAGAAATGTACGAATGTGGATGCCACTCTGCCAGGTTACCAACCGCCCATCCTTCGTGACCGTAAATCTTCAGTGCAGGACGCACTCAGATTTCAAACGTTCAACATGGCTTTCCTTGGCCTGGGTGGCTCCGTTGACACCAACTGTGAACTGTCATCAGCAATGACATCCAGGATGGCTTTACTACTTCAGTCATTGCGCTTGGCCTGCTGGAGCTTGGAGCCTTTACCTGTTGCAGGTTGTGAAGCTTCCTGATCGCTGCTTTCAGTGTCGTCAGTGTCACTGACACTATGGTTTTCAGTTGTAGAACTCGTACTGGGGTCATTGGTGCCCGTAGCTGCATGTCTACGGGATGACTTGCTCGTCCGCTGGCACTGGGCCTGGCGAGAAGCACTCGCCGAAACAATACCGGTTTTCTTCAGGGAAACAACATCCTCACTGAGCACATTCACTTGCTTATTCAACAGATTGATCTGGTTCAGCAGGCGGGTCTCCAGATCGGCCGACTGTGACACGAGGGAGGACAGTGTTGTGACTAGTTCTACGACAGAAGTCTGAATTCCTGGGAGGGAACTCAACTTTTTGATCTCCGACTTGGTCATCCCGCGAATGGCGGTTCATTGGGGAATGATTATACGGAACCTGAACTTAAGTCCCATTTTGAATGACCCTTTTCACACTGTCACTTCACCGGTGATACACAAGTCGTAGAACACTTCTCGGTGAGACCTTCGACCGCAAACTGCTGTTCCGCAAGCATCTTCACCCGGTTTCAGTCAGATCAAATCCAGCCAGCGCCCTGGCTTCTTCAGGAAGGTATGCCCAGTACTCAACCCCAACGGCCACCTCAGCATATACAACGGCTTCATCCTCCCCACCTTGCCAAGCTTGACTGCATCCAGCAACGGTGTATGCGCAGCAATGACGCTCGGACCATGCTCCCAAGCTTATCAGTCCTTCGGCAAGTCTCTGGAGTGTGCTGTTCAAGCTGCACTATATTTCAAGTCCGGCCCAGCTGACAGACATGCTGCCACCTGCTGCCACTGAGCCCGCCCGCCCCAGAAACCCGCCACCAACATCAAGTGAGACACTCCCTGCCTTCCAGTTGTCAAACCCCCCTCCCCGCAACAAGTCCTGACATCCTACACTGATCCTTCCCGGTCAGCCTAATAACAACATGGAATCTGCCATCCTAAACGCTCCCCCCCCCCCCCGCCCATGCAAGTCAGTGCTGCAACGCTTCACAGTAGCAGTGTACAGGTACCTCCTCGAGCAAACATGCGTGACTGCTGTCGACGTTTACACCACAGACTAGCATACTAGCTGATGGCCTAACTCTTTCTTCTTTCTTTCTCTTTTTAACCCCCCCCCCCCGTGCGCGTTACCGAGACCTCTGGTCAGAGGACTCCATAACGCCTCACCTACACAGCTGAGCTAGTGGATACTAGTAGTCAGCCCCGACTCAATAGTTGTTTGTTCTCTCAACCCTCAACATTTGTGTTTATATCGTTTCTTCGTTCTCCCTGCATGCAACTTGTTGTCTTTCTTGTTATAATTTTTTGTCTCGAGCCGGGTTTGTGTTCTTTGAAAAAATAAAAAAATGCACTTGAACATAGCCGTGTGTGGTTGGTATGCCATATTAATAGGTAAGCGGTTCTCTAGATACGGCATGAACGGGACTCTTCACATATTCCGAGGAGCGATTAGCAATAACCTTCTGGACAACGGTAAGATCATACTCAGCCTCGACGCTCCTCAGAAAGCAGGTGGGATTACCAAAGACTGGTATGCCATGCTTCTGAATTGCACAAGCCGCGAGGAGTGCAGTTCAAGAGGCGCAAAGTGAAGAGCCCGTCTGTGGATCACATCTGGAGTGCTGATCTAGTTGACAAATGGTTGTGGAACTTGACTACTTTTCCACTATTATCCACTTACCACCAGTTGCCAGTTATGATTGCCAGTTATGATTGCCAGTTATGATTGCCAGTTAGTTGTAGAACGTGAGTACAGTCGGTCAGTGTCATTCAATGTTATCGCATGAGCTGATTGTTTAGTAACCGGTGGTGCTAGTGTATAATAGAGCGTAACTTATAGCTCTTTGGTCCTCTTTCTTCTTATCTCTATATTTCTTGTTTATTGCTTGTCTTCATTCATAATTTTATCAATAAAATTCACCACCCTTTTCTAGTAGCCTGACCCCAAACATGGTGAGAAGGCATCGGTACCTGTTCATGTGGTGAAGTAAAGTAAAATGCCACAGTCATAGCACCGGTAGTTAGCTTCTTTTACTATCAGCGGACATCCCATTCAGTATCTTGAATTAATGACTTTTAGTCTAAATTATCCATGTCTGGTACTTTCCCTCAAATTAAACTCACTATTTATTCGGGATTCAGGTGAGTAGTCCATGGTGCAGGTTCCATTTCCGCAGTCTTCTACTGTGTTTTGGCAGTCTTCAGCTATGTAACAGTAGGATTGATTCAGGCTTAATTCGTCCTCACAAGTGCAAATGTAAGTAGAGCCTGCTTTTTGGCATTGTGTGTATCCAAAACAAATTGGAAATTGTCCATTTGCCAGGCATATGTATCCAGGTGATGAACAGCTCGGCGCAATAACTGCTACGGACTCATTACAACGGCAGTAGTAGTCAGCGCGTCCGTTATTGTTGAACTTCTGAAAATGTCCAGGTGCACAGGACTTTGACACTGGATAGCATAAGACATGAATATACGAGATTACATATGACACTACACTGTCAAGACATAACTGCCTGACACTTAGAAGCAGAACATCCTTCAGGCTGATGAACATTTTGAAAGTTTTCATTAGTACGAAATACACTTTCATGCCTGATCATCAAACCATGGACAATGGATTAAATAGAAATGTTGTTTTGCCCTTCCTCCTTGCACTGGTTCTATCACCTCTCTACTTTATTTAATCCATTGTCTATGTTCATTTGATTTTGCCTGTATTCCACCTGAGGATAAGGCATGAAAGTATACTAGTGAAAACTTTCAAAAATGTTCAAGAGCCTGAAGTGTGTCCTACTTCTAAGTATTAAAAAGAGAAAAGACTAATAAGTTACTAGTCATGAATAACAGTTAAAGATAACTTATACTTTTCTAGGCACTCGCAGACTCCATTGAATGGTTTTTCATCCTGAAGATGGGCCATGCCGGAAAATTTGGTGCATTCCATTTATATCTAATAGTAATTTTTTGGAAGTGAAGTGGACTTATGCAGCGAAGAGACCGTAGTTGGAGAGTTTGAAGTGAGGTACCCTGTAAGATAACTTATACAGTAAAAAATCAAAAACCAAAAGCCCTAACAAGGATATTGAGACATTCGACAACTGGACACCTAGCTCCAAAACATCTACGAAGCGCAAACCAAAAACCGTCCAACTTGGAAGGCTGAGGTGGAGAAAGTTCCAATTAGGCGTTGTTTTCCCGCTACTTGACTGTAAAAGATGCCGTTACCTTGGTGGACTGTTAGTCATAACTAGTCACGTATTGGTCCTTTTCTCGTCTTTACCTATTGTGTTGGTTCACCATCCGCGTTTAAATAGACACACCTGATCAGCCGTCACCAGCAATATGGCAGGACGTACGTCATGGGAAACTACTAGTTATTGTTCGTAACTTGTCTTTCATAGTTACATCAACATCGCGTTTAGTAGAATACTGTGGTGACTTTCTGTTTGTGGCAGTTCGTTTTCGTAATTCGATGATACCATTTTGATTTGGTCTTTATTTTATTTATTTATTTATTTCACTCAACTCGTGGTTCATGACCAATTGGCACGCAAAGTGCGAGAGAGGGGTGATAGCCAACCAAGGCAAGAAAAGAAAAGAAACGAATATAGAAAAAGAGAAGAAAGAAGGATAGACAAGAATCCAGCAATGAGATCCTATCGTACTACATTATGCGATCGGAGTGCATTTTTAAAGCTGGAAAGACATTTTGATGTCTTAACATGCTGGGAAAGTTGCAGCCAAAGGCTGTAGGACAAAAACAGAGGAGATTTGGTAAATGCGGCTGAATTAGCATGGGGAAGTGAGAGACTATTACGAGTGGACCGGGACAGAGAAAACCAATTGAATACGGAGAGATGAATGGGAGTTTTATCTAGGCGAATTCTGTGGATCAAAACGCAAAGCTGCTGTTTGCGATTATCTTGCAGTGGCTGAGCATTGCTGATACAATAGAGCTCAAGACTAGGAAATAAACGCTGCTTGTTAAACAATATTTTAAGAAGAGATTTATGTTGGATTTCAAGTTTGTTCACAAGATGTTGACTTAGACTACACCAAGACTGACATGCATACTGGAAAATAGGTAATAGATACGAGCGATAAAACATAGAACGGCATGTATTTCGCAAATGAGAACGATGAGGATATAGTATGCCGAGAACACTACTAGTTTTCTTGCAAATATAGTCTGCATGAGGAGCCCATGTTAGACAGTCGTCAATAATTATACCAAGGTGCTTATGTTCATGGACAATTTCTATGGTCTTTCGATTCAGGTTTCGCAATTCGTCATGGAAATGTCCTTGGCAACTACGAATACGGGAGGTAGCTTGGCGTACGGGTGTTTATATGCACACTTGCTAGGATCATGGAATCAAGGGATAACATGTGTACCTGGTAAACCAAATGTGTACAGGTCCTGTCTCGTTAGTATATTTTGTATCTTCAACACAAGCATCTGCATGCCGCACTCACGTAACGAACAACCAGTTTGGGGAGTAGGAGGGTTTGTCAATTGCTTTGCCAGGCTCGGAGTGAGTGAGTGAGGAGTGAGTGACAGCTTAGAGCTGTGCCAATGTTTGTGTTGAAGTCTCCAATGCGCTGAAAAAAATGAATAATGGAAGGTCCCCTGGCCCAGATGGAGTCCCAGGCGAACTCTTGAAATATGGAAGAGAAAACCTAGCACCTCACATTGCCTGTCTGTTCAACAGCATGTTCACAACTCACCAGCACCTTGACATGGGATGCGGCACACTGGTACCGTTGCAGAAACCAGGAACCGCCTGGAAATCTGCGCCCTATTGTCCTTCTTACATCAATACGCAAAACATTCTCCATCATTACATTGCGAAGAATATCGTCGAAAGTCGGTGAGTACTTGTCTCCGACGCAGAGTGGTTTCAGAGCAGGCCGATCTGCAGCGGACCTTGTATGGAGTCACACATGGTTTGCGGCAACATGTCAGCATTATCGGCGGGAAATGACCATTCTTGGAATCGACATGTCCAAAGCATTCGACTGTATACGTCGTGACAAACTGTTGACAGTTCTCGAGTCTTTCCTGACGGAGGATGATGTTTGGCTGGTTAGAGTGCTGTTGACCAACACAACTCTGCAGGTACGCATCGGTAGGGCAGTATCAGAGTCCCTTGAAACTACAATTGGCGCCCCGCAGGTTGATTCTCTCTCCCCGGTGTTGTTTGTTATATACTTAGAGGCAGCACTGAGAGATCTGAGGAGCACGAAACAGACCGCCAATGGATCAAAGCATCAACATTCCATTTGAGCTGGTCTACGCAGATGACACCGATTTCATAAGCTTTAGTCGTCAATGGCTCACAAATCTCGAACCGGTCATAGACCACACTCTCGGGTCAACAACACCAAAACTGAGTGGACAGAGCTGGGTTGATCTGTAGGCAGAATTGACGAGCGTTGGAGGACATCCCGAAAGCTGGGCTCACTCCTGGACGACATTGAGGATGTGACACGTCGCAGGCAATTGGCCGAGGCTGCCTTCCGATCCTTGTGGTCTCTTTGGAAGCGCCGAGGACTGATCCGAGAGCCTCTGCATATGAGGTTGTACTGCGCCTTTATCATGCCAATACTTCTCTATAATTCAGGCACCTGGGGCCTGACAGTTGCTAGCGAACGCTCCCTGAGCGCTTTCCATAGAAGGTAGCTAAGGTCACTTCTCGGCATCACATGGCCACAGAAGATTAGTAATTTGGCGTTGTACGCCCCATGTGGAGTGGAGGCAGTGTCGGACTTGATCCGAAATTCAAGCTGGAGTCTATTCGGGCATGTGCTTTGCCTGGGTAAGGACACGCTAGCACGATTGAGCATGGGGCAATACTTTCATGCGCCCGAGGGGAGGTACCGTGGCGTGGGAGGCCGAGGGTGACACTACCAATAAAGCTCCACACCGATCTGTCCCAGTCGAACAATGGGCACCTGCGGAGTGTTGAGGACTTGCGCGGTGTGGAGCAGATTGCTGGGGACCGTCCAGCATGGGACGCGCTAGTGAAGAGTGTTTGTGCATACCCTCGTCACGAGTAGAAACAGCCATGGCATCCTTATAAACTCATAACAACCATTCTATAATAATATTACTATTTGACTCTTTTAATAATTATCTGGCAAATCAACCTCATACGTATAATTATTTGGCCACCCATTGACCATGATGCTACATGAGGAGACAATAGTGATGACATTGTTCCAATGAGACCAGTTTTATGACGCTCCATGTTACTGAAGGACTAACTTCGATCATTGGTTTTGTGGTGCTCCATTCTCTAGGAGCTGTCTACATCTGCTTTGTTTCAATGTCCAGCATAAGCGAACGTGTGGATCAAACATAACTGTTTGGTTGACGCTGCAACGGGAATGCGTATAATAATAATAATTATAATAATTAGTGCAATTAGGAGTATAATCGATGCAGACATGGCCAGACAACAACGAGTTCATGGAATTTTTAAGGATTTTTATGTTATTCAAAATCGATTTTCGTGTTCCGCTCATCAGTGAATAGTATCGGAACTGAGGGTACTGTGTACACAAATAGAACATTTTATAACAGCATAATTAAGTAATAAAAAGTGTGAACAACAAAGGAAGTGCTACAGCATTACATAATAGGTGTCAAACATAGTGCTAACGTATATAACTGAGTAATAATAATAATACGAAGTAGTGGTTGCGACTTCGGCGATGACTTGTAAGAAAGGGTTTGCTCCCCACACCGGAGCTCGCGCTATTCCGCCGACTTTACTTGACACTTGACTGACTCACGACTGCCATCCAGAGCACACGAGAAGTCCATCGAACCTTCGACTCGGCAAACCTACAAGAAAGCACCACTCCCTGCTCAATACACAGTGTTTCGGGGAATTCACCCCTCATCAGTTGAGCTTGAGTAGGCTGAGGAAGATTGTGCCTGAAGAGCACCACTTATATAGTACTCTCCAGGCACAAACATCACCAGGGATACAAACTTACAGAGACGCTCCGTTTCCAGCGCGACAAACACCTCGTGAACACCAGATAGCAGCGTGAGTCAGTGTCGCTCCTGGACGGAGAGACAGACGTCGAGGACCCTCGGTCATTCGCAACGCTGTCACCTCCAAACCAACTAGTCGCAAGCCCGCGCTGGGCACAACAGTACGAAGTAGTGGTTGCGACTTCGGCGATGACTTGTAAGAAAGGGTTTGCTCCCCACACCGGAGCTCGCGCTATTCCGCCGACTTTACTTGACACTTGACTGACTCACGACTGCCATCCAGAGCACACGAGAAGTCCATCGAACCTTCGACTCGGCAAACCTACAAGAAATCACCACTCCCTGCTCAATACACAGTGTTTCGGGGAATTCACCCCTCATCAGTTGAGCTTGAGTAGGCTGAGGAAGATTGTGCCTGAAGAGCACCACTTCTATAGTACTC